ATATGATATTTGGTGAAACTCGGTTCACATACATCTATAGCTCTATAGCACTCTCTATAGCTCATGTCGTACACTTTATAGCTATGTTATTTGGTACGAGAGGAACAAATGCCTCTGTCAAATTTTGTGGAAATCGGTTCAGATTTGAATATACCTCCCATATATAACTGTTCTGAAGCCATAATACGCACTCAAAAGAGGTTCATAGTTGGTAGCTCTGATAAATATGCACAGTGGTGTAGTTTATCTTTTAGTCGACCCGTTCCACTTTTGAGCTTTATTTACTGGATTTTCACTATATTTTTCATCAGGTTTGCAAATATTAGTTCTACGTTTACGATTTTGGGTTTAAAAAATCAGAAATACCTGTACATTTTGGTAGAATTTGATCCGCGCTATAGTAGATACCCTAAGTTTAATGTCATTCAGGAGGCATTTAGAAAATCACCTCCATATCATAACCACAGACAATAACAGTGACAGCTCTATGTGTTCATTTCAGTTCTATGTGTTTACCCAATACCCAATATAGTTCCACTGAGTACTTCTTGTACAATTACAATACACATTTCCAAAATCACCTCCATATCTCAATGCCAGATACCAACAGAGACCTCAATATCAAAGTTAATACTATTTCGTACTTTCTAGTACGTTTATCCGAATCGTTCCCCGATAGAGCACAAACTTGATTCGTTTGTAATATTTATTTCTGGAGCGACCCAACGATCAAGTTGTAAAAAGAATAAAATCTGGCAATTTGGCTCATAATAGCTTCAGATTAGAGAACGTCTGTCAGAAATTGTGACGTATATGACATACTTTTTCGATGCATAATAATAAGAGATTCTGACAAAAAACGCGGAGATTTTAATTCCGTTTGTAACACCTCGAAATATACATTTTAGACCCTACAAAGTATAAATATTCTTACTTAGAGATATCCGTCCATTGTGTCTCCGAACGAAATGAGGTTGATAACATTTTACTCAAATGTGTTTTGATTCTGCGGGACTTTTGGTATTGAAAATAGACTCCATATCACTGTGCCGCCAGATTAATGGTCCTTTGGTTGTTTAATCACAATTTTAGCCCGAATTGAATGTAAATTGGCAGTTTGTGTTCCCCGTATCTATGAAATATCCTTTCATGGAACTGTCTATATACGTCCAAATTTTGGTATAGTCTCCATATAACTGTACCTCTAGATATTCGGTCATACCTTTCAATAGAATTACTTCAAATTTGGAATTTGAAGTTCGTAACGGATACTACTTCCTAGGACAGAATATTTTCTGTGCAGATAAATGGCTAAGTTTAACGGTACCCCCAATATTCGGTGCCTTCATGATTTAAGCTACATTTTTCAACCAAATTATCTCAACCTTGGTATTTAGAGTTTATGTTAGCGCCGATTTCTTTGGCAAATAACTAACTATAGTGTTCCCCGTTTTCGACTAGTCCCCTTATAACGGTACCCCGCAACATTTGATATTTTAAGAATTATTTCAAATTCGGAATTTGAAGTTCGCAATGGGTAACTTCTTCCTATGACTATTTGTAGGACTTTTGGTATTGATAATTGGCAATTTAGGTCCACGTCTTCGTATAGGCCCTGTGTAATGGTACCTCACGGTATGAGGTATTTTGATGATTGTAGTTAGACTCGGTGTTTTGACTTCGTAATAGTTATACCGACAGATTTATGGTCTTTTGTTTGGTTTAGTCACAATTTTAGCAAATTCAGTAAATTGACAGTATAGGTTAACATGTGGGAAATATCCTTGCTTGGAACTTTCTATATAGATCCATGTTTTGAAATAGTCTCCAACTGTACATCCACACATTCGGTATTTTTTTCACGGGTCTTTTGAGTTCGCAATAGGCACCATTTTCTCTAGCAGATTATTGAATGAAGAGATACACGTTTTCGTATAACCCCATATAAATTTAACACAAGATATTCGAAATTTTTCTTTCCAAATGTTGGAGAGAAAGTTCGTTCAGGCGGAATTAAGCTGCTGTTTTACTTGTTATAAAAATAACAACGGTCTTAAGCTTGGTTCTGAAGCGACAAAATATCAATGAAAAATACTTTTAATTTCTTAGAACAAAAATATTTGGAAGATGTACACTAAAGGTCTGCAAATGTGACACTTTTCTCTATTTATGTCATGGTGAAAAAACGCTCGTCATGTTGTGCCCTGTTTGATCAAACGCATAACAGTACGTGACATCCAACTAAATGCTCGATGTCTCGTCATGTCGGTCACACTCAAACCCATCGTCATAACATATAATGACCAATAAAAGGGAATGTTGAATAGTGTGTCATACAAAAATGTTCTATCAAAAAAACAACAACAATTATGAAACAATTGCCAACGAAAAAGACACACACATGATGAAGGCAAAGCGCAATCGCTACCTGCTTTTCCGATATGTGAAAAAATACATTTTTTGTAATAAAGAATTTCTTGGCGATTACTAAAATATTAAAGGTACTTCTAATTGGTCCACACAGAATGTTCACATTTCGTCGTTATTGACGAAACAATCTAAAATGTTAATCCTTATTAAAAAACAATAATCCCCTGAAAAAATTTCTCATTTTGATTATAATTTCATAAATGTTTGCCTCCGGTATTGATATGTAAATGAGAATGAGTGCTACTGTAATTCACATAACAACACTATATACTACCATTGTTCAATTCTGTGTATATTCTGTTATTGAATGAGAGTCAAATCTCTGCCCACAAACTTTAATTTTAAAAGAACAATATATGTAGATTAAAAATATGCAAACAATATTTACCTTTTTTTTATGACCAACATTTTATGATAATCACCAATAAATTGGGATTATTAAGCATATATTTCATTTTTTCTATTCATTTGTTGTTGCCCATGTACATTTTGTTATTGAACTCAATTTTATATTAACGCGGTATTTATTACTTCAAAATTACAGCACACACAAAAACACGTCCTCAACGTCGAAAATAACACACACACACACTCTCTCAATATAAGCACACGTACACAAATGACACACAATTTGACGATGACAAGGTTCGATGTCATCGTTGACACCCTGCATTTATGGAGAACACCATGCAAATATTCGAGTCAGCCATGCCACGATCGAACCTTAGACAATGGCACACATGAATTAAAATGGGGGATGTTGTTGGTTGTCATTGCCTATCAAATACATAGCGCATGATTGAGTAGACAAAGTCAGTGTGTCGAAAAAAGCATAATTCATACAATTCGTCTTGTGCAGGCCTTTAATGTACACAAGGAAACTACCAATAGTACGATCCGCGAGGTTTTAATAATACGACCTAAATGTTAATCAACCAACTTGGGGTGTTTTATGTGGGGTATTACAATAGTTTAAACACCCACTCCTAACTTTAAAAATGTTGACATACCAAGAGAATAATTACAAACGAAGATACATGTTGGAAATGCTTTATATAATTAATGTCCCTGTAGAAAATAGAATGGGACACAGAACACTGTGCGCAAATTTATAGAAACACTATAGAAAGACACAAAAAAGTTTAATCTGAGAATCTCTGTAAGGTGATGTGGAAGTAACATTGTTTTTGAGAATATAACCAATATAATTACTTGTATTTGTTAATTGTTTATAAAATATTAAAATGCATGTTATTTGTTTTTAAGTTCAATCCCTGATGATGATCGTCGATGCCGATCGAAATATTGGAAATAAAAAAAAAAATTGAAACATAATTAAATGTTTTTAATTCTACTGGCCTCGAGCCAAATTAAAATAAAAAACAAAATTGAGTCCAAAGGTCAAATAAAACCACACAAACATAGTTTAGAAGTTGATGATGTTTTATACTGTCCAACGGATCATCTCCACTTCAGATAGCTTTTTGTTCCCATGTTTCATCCAATTTTATATTAAAGTCTGCTAATCGTTATTTTAGGGAGTCTTTAGGTTACAGGTTTTGTAATTATTTTACTATATTATAAAGCACTCATTTTTATTTCACAAAGTGAAAGAACCCGTTTCTTTCACTTGGCTTTAGAATAAATTGTGTCGATTTATTCTATTCGCTTCAATAGACCTGCCAGCCGATTATTCGAGCCTGTACTTGGAATTTTCTTTTCTGATTTGCGGTCTATTATTTCTTTTTTTTTCTTCTTCTCGGCGAAGTCGTCTTTGACGAGCATTTGACAAATTACAATTTTATTGATGCCATTTGCACAACATAAACAACGACAACAACAACATCATCAGTTGCCGATAAAAACAGTTCCAGGCAATGGCGGTTGTTTTGACATGGGACAAAAATAAGTCCTGGTTGTAAATGTATCCATTATTTTTTTATGATTACCAGACAGAGTGGCAGACAGTCAGTGGTAGGCTCGGGAAGGAATAAAAAAGAGGCACGAAAAATGAGTGGACGCATTGAAATCCATAACAAATTGTTTCCATTTTTGTTTCATTTCTTCTTCTTTTTTGCCCCTTTTTGTCAGTCAACCGCAAACGTTGTTGGTGCACTTTGAAGGAGTAACTTCTTTTGTTTGTTTTTCATTTCATGATTACGACGAATTTCTTTTACTTTTTGTTTTCTCTCCATTTCATCCCACATTTCACCCGCTTATTTCACCATCAGATTCGTTCATCGCTCACTTCCCGATTGCGAATGACGACGACGACGACGATGCGTTGGGTAGTTGCGGATGTTTAAACAATGAATAAGAAATGTGCCATAATTTATTACAAATTGTTATCTGGTAACGAAACGAACACTTGAATGGCCTTGTGAAATGTGGGAAAACAGTGGAACCTCCTCTGCAATTTTGTATGCCATGAATATTTTTTGCGTCTCACAGATATCAGCTGTGAGTGGGCTCTTCTGTATGGAAATACTGTAGGGAATTAAATTTATTTTCATATTTATTTCATTTGAAATATACTTATAACGATTCTCTTTTTCTCCATTTCATTTCAGCAATACCGACAACCGAAATAAAATTTCAAATTTCCTTTCCCTGCGGTCCTCAATCATCATCAGCCTACACATTTAAGTATTTGCCAATCAAATTCGATTTATATTAAAAGAAAACATTCTGGGACCTCCAGCGAAAGAAACTCACAAAGCAATATAATTTTTTAATTAAGTGAAACCCCCCCGAAAAAGAGAGACTTATTTGAAATTTAAACGAGTTTTCATTATTTAAACAAATTAAAAAATGAAAATATAACAAACAAAAATAGAAACTAGAAAACTCTCACACACATACACACGTAAAAAAAAAACTCCTCAAACCCCAACTAAGACTTAACAAAAGCGCACAAAACTTCTCCCGCATCATCGCCACCACAATCACCACAAAACCGCATAACATTCTCCTGATTATCTGCCAGCCAGGGATCTATCCACACGTGCCAAGGATAAGTACACATCGCCATAGTTCTGGAAACTGTACGCCACCTCCGTCGCCATCATCGTGCTCCTCCACTTCCACTTCCACCTCCTCGTTAGCATCACCAGCATCACCTCCAGCAACATCATTACAAACTGGCGTTCTTTCTAAATATAATGTGGAGCACTATTTCGCCGACAAATTCGAAGAAACTTTTAATTGGCAGCACACGCAGCGTTGACTATGTCGGTGATAACTCCACAACGAAATCAACAAAGATATCGATCGCAATGGAAATTCATATACAAAACAAGTGCATCTCAGCATAGCGCATCACTCTGGAGGGTGGTGCAGAGCCCCCATGGCTACAGGGCCCCCTTAAAGCGGCATTTTTGGGGGCCTCTGGCGTCGGCAAAACAAGCATTTTACAGGTGGGTAGCAGGAAAATATTATTAAAATAGATAAAATAAAGAGGGCCAGATATAATAACACTCAAACCCATAAAATACATGTGAGCATAAAAATAATGCATTCCTGACTTGTCAAAAATTCATTAAATGTATCTGACTATTTTCTATTGAGGTTATTTATATAAATGTGATTCAAATATAACATTTTATAAACATCCGACGTTAGATACCCATAGATTAGATAGATCAATGTTAATTTTTATAAAAGGAAGGACGACTATGACTTCCTGCAAGACAAATGTGTTTCTCACAGACTTAATGGAAAATCAGACAAAACATATATGGGAGCAACCTATTTAAAAAAGTATCAATCGGTTCTGCCGACAGACTAACAACCTCAGCCATTGTTCGATTACTTAAATAAATTCTGACTTCTGTCATGATTATTCAAACTTTTGACCCTCTATGGAGTGGGTTCTGAGGGAATGGGCAAATATTATCTATTTCGTATCGAACCTAAATAAATACGATATAAATATTCACTTCACTTTACATGACACATGTGATAATTTTAAGAAAATGTTAACATGTGCGTGAAGTACCAGATATAGTCGACCGAAGTATTGTATTGTATGGTATGGTCAAAATTGAAAATTTATATACAATTTATGGGAAATCATAAGTTCCATATTCATCTTAGTTTTCTGGTTGAGAGAAATATTTAGATATAGCAAGATGTAAAGAGTCGCTGACTTGTTTCGCCAGTTATTACAGATAAAAGTATTGAAAATTCTAACCCTTTGTGGGTGAGGAACCAGAAGGGGTTTGCAGATATATATCATATTCACAACAGATTTTGTATGTGTATATGTTTGTATTTGTGAAATTTGAGTAGAGTTGGATGCTTATTTCGCTTTCTTTAAGCGTTATGTTTTTCAAAATCTTGCGTCCTTTGTGGGTCCGATCTCTACCACCTTTATAACAGATATTGTGTTGATGGAAATATTGAGATGTACCAAGTCTGGAATGGAATCGGATGTTAATATCGCTTTTTATGAGCTTCATGAATATTCAAAATTTTGACCCTTTATGGAAGAGGTACCAGAATGAGTAGACCGATATATCCCATCTTCACAACAGATATTGTGTTAGTAGAAATATTGGGATGTGTAAAATATAAAGGGAACCTGCTGCTTATTTCGCGTTTTATGACCTTCATGGATATTCAAAATGTTGACCCTTTGTAGGGGAGATACCAGAAGGAAGGAAGGAAGGGTCCGATCTTTACCGTTTTTATAATAGATCCTGTGTTGATAGAAATATTCAGATGTGCCAAGTTTAAATGGAATCGGATGTTAATTTTGCGTTTTATGAGCTTAATGGATATTCAAAATCTCGACCTCGAGGGAGGTGCCAGAATGAGTGGGCCGATATATTCCATCTTACAAAAATATTAGGATGTGTGAAATTGTAAGACAATCGGATACTTACATCACATTTAATAAGAGTTATAACTATTCAAAATTTTGACCCTTTATGGAAGAAGCACTGGATGAAGTGGACCGATATAATCCATTTTTGCACCTGACCGAGTACTGAGGCAAATAATAGGGCTTGCAAAGTTGAAGCAAAATCGGATTATCTTGTGCAGAAAAAATATATACATATTTTTTTTTTTTTTTTTTTTTAAATTTCGACCTTTTGTTTGGGAATTACCAGAAGTAGTGGATTGATGTATTCCATCTTAACATCAGACCTTGGGTTAATAAAATTATTGGATCACATCACATTTTATAAAACTTATAATTATTCAAAATATCCGTTTTCGCACCTGACCTAGAACTGACGCAAATATTAGAATTTCCACAGTTGGAGCAGAATAGTTCTCTTCCTGTGCAGAAAATATATATTTGAAAATTTCGATCTTTTGTAGATACCAGAAGTAGTGGTCCGATATTGCCCATCTCCGAACTCGATCTAAGTTTGGTACGGTGGAGCAAATCGGATCCTCCCTTCGAGAGTTATCGTGCGCACCAACCAGCCAGACAGACGGACGGACGAACATCGCTAGATCGACTACAAATGTCCTGAATTGGTGCAAAGAGACCTAGGGTCTAAAAACGTTACTTCGACTAGGCACGTTTTGACCGTATCAAATGATATGTACCCTCTGAAGCCATATGGCTGAGGGTATAAAAAAGACATTTGTTCAAATCTTCTAAATATGGTTACAGTAGACAAATGTACGAACGAATGTGAAAAATAGGCTGTAAGTATAAGTCTAATCTGATGTGAAATACTAGACATCTTTAACTTCTTCCTTGAATGGAAAATGTAGCCTGACAGAATTTAACAAATATGCAAGAACAGATCAGTGGATAGATGGTCAAGCAGACATGTATGGATCAAACCAGAATTAATACTATGAACCAAGCATAATTAATGATTGGACTATTTCGCATCCTTTTTATAACATACATTACATAGTTGTAAGGGTATTATGTCTTTGTGCATTTGTTTGTGACATGGAGAAGGACGCGAGTTAGACCCATAGTTACTTTTTAGGATCTTCATAGAATCATTTTCTGAGTCGATTTATGAATGTCATCCCATCCGTCCTTCCGTCCGTCCGTCCATGTATTTTTGTGAACAAAATGCAAGTCTTTTTTATTATTCGATTGAGATTTTATTTCCCATCAATATTTGTTAAGCCCAAAAACGACCCCTGTTGAAATTGGTGATAATCGGTTCAAATTAAGATATATATCCCGTATATATCTTCAACTAATTTCGGCTTAATTATGCACCAAATGACCAATATCAGTCTAAATTACCTGAATTCCGGCAGATCCGACCGATTCCAGTCTAGAAGCAAGTACATAAATTTTGAAAAAATCGGTTCCGATATAGCTATAGCTGCCATACATATGTCCATCCGATTTCGTGTTAAAGTCCCTCACAAGCGTAATATGCACTCCACAAGAATGATATTTGGTAACGTATATCAGTTACAGCCCAGAAATATCTCTGCCAAATTTTACCGCGATCGGATCAGATTTGGATATAGCTCCCATATGTATCTTTATCCGATATCATTTTGACACTTCCGACAGAATTCAGCCCAGAAGCGAGTACTTCAAATTTTGGTGAAAATCGGTTACGATATAACTCTCATATATATGTTCCATCCGATTTGCTGTTAAAGTCCCACTCATGGGTAATATGCACTCCACGACAATGATATTCGATACCGGACATCAGTTACATCTCGAAAGTACCTCTGCCAATTTTTATCGATTCAGATTTTTATATACCTTCGATATACATCTTCAACCGATTTTACAGTTATTACTCACCATATATGTAATATCAGCCCAAATTGAATAGATTTTTTAACATTCAACCGAATTTTCCATTTGGTAAAACTCGGTCCATGAAAGAGAATTGTCTATATAGGTCTACGATATACGACATTATTTACCGGAATTGTATTTGAAGCTCGTAATGGGTACTACAACCTATGACGGAGAATTGTCTATGTAGGTCCACGTCTATATAACCACATATAACGGGAACTCCCTTTATTCGGTATTGTTAAAAATTTCGTATTAAAAAGTTCATATTGGGATCTACAGCCGATGACAAAAAAAAACGTCTCGGCCGGACTATCTTACCTGTTTTTTTTTTTTTTTTTTTTTTTTTTTTTTGTTCTCTGGCACACCAGTTTCCTAAGACTTGTAGCTGAACTGGTTAGTTATCAAGTTAATTTCAATTTTTTTACATGATGAAGACCTTGGAAAGGTTACTGGACTTGGACATTCGCTTAAATATAAATTCATGAACAATAAGCACGAAACTGTACGCTTATATCAAATCATCATCAATTCAGACTGCCCTACACGAAGTTGTCGGATGCGTCCTTACTGTTAACTGGAGCTCTCAAAAGTACTCCTCAATCCACGATGACTGACTCCAAGAAAGCCCTTCTTGAAATACGTGAATTCATTAAGCTTTGTTGAACCCAGGGCATAGAAATATAGTGAGGAATGAAATGGCTGAGCTTGAGGTGGTTCCCAGTCAATTGATCTACGTATTTAAGAAAGGGTTAAATTACATATAAGCTATTATGTCAGCCAATTCGAAAATGATCTCATCGAAGAAGTTGGCAACTGGAAACCTGTTGCGAGGTATATAAGACCATTTGACCGGCAATTTCGGAAAAACCTACTCCTTTCTATCAATTAGTAGGTTCGATCTAAGAATCGTGGTGGGCATATTATTGGCCACTGCAATATCAGATGCTGACCTCTTGATGGTCTCCGTCTACTGTGAACTATGTGAGGTCGAAGAAGAGGTAGAAACAATTGAACGTCTACTTTTCACATGTCCCACGACGATACGCTCTATAGAATTTTGCAGATATAAAGAGGTTGATTCATTCAGTTGCATGTTACTCCAGACGTACATCCGAGGGAACTATACATTACTCTACCTGAGGTGGATAAATAATCATAAGGTGAGGTAAGGATAAATAATCATAATCATCATGTTGGTTCCAATTATTTATAATTACTGTAACCGGATTGGGACCAAATTAAGCCACCTTTGTCATTACTAATGCTCTATTAAAAACCAGTAAGGAAAGCTCAAAAGTCGGGCGGGGCCGACTATATGATACCCTACACCACTATGCATATTTAGTAGAGCTCTCGTAAAAAGGTTTATACAGGGCATTTCAGAGCTCTATGAGATATTTGGTACAAAATCAAAATCTATCTAATTCTATCTAATTCTATAGCTATCTCTGAACCGGGTTTCTCCAAATTTTACGTATTAGCTTCTAGACTGAATTCGGTTTTATGTACGAAAATTCAAAATTGACCATTTAGTGCACATTTAACCCGAAATCGGATGAAGATATATATGGGAGCTATATCCAAATCTGAACCGATTTCGATAAAATTTAAAACGGCTGTTCCTGTGCTCCATCTAATACCTGGTACCAAATATCACTGTTGTGGAGTGAATATTACGAATGTATGGGACTAAAACACTAAATCGGATGAAACATATATATATGGTTGCTATATCTATATCTGAACCGATTTTCACTAAATTTGATATACTTGCTTCTAGGCTGAATTTTGTCCGATGTACTAAAATTCAGTCCATTTGGACTTATATCGGCCATTTGGTGCACAATTAACCCGAAATCGGATGAAGATATATATGGGAGCTATATCCAAATCTGAACCGATTTCGATAAAATTACAAACGGCTATTTCTGGGCTGTATCTTATATCTGGTACCAAATATCATTCTTGTGGAGTGCATATTACGAATGTGAGAGGCTTAAACACCAAATCGGATAAAACATATATATGGGAGCTATAGCTGTTTCTGAACCGATTTTCTCCAAATTTGTTGTATTTGCTTTAAGGCTAATCTCGGTCACATGTGCCAAAATTCGGGCCATTTGGGCTGATATTGGCCATTTGGTGGTCAATTAACCCGAAATCGGATGAAGATATATATGGGAGCTATACCCAAATCTGAACCGATTTCGATAAAATTTAAAACAGCTATTTCTGTGCTCCATCTAATACCTGGTACCAAATATCACGGTTGTGAAGTGCATAGTAGGAATGTGAGGGACTTAAAGATCAAATCGGATGAAAGATATATATGGGAGCTATAGCTATATCTGAACCGATTTTCTCCAAATTTGATATACTTGCTTCTAGGCCGAACTTGGTTGGGTGTGCCAAAATTCAGTTAATTTGGACTGATAGTGGACATTTGGTGCACATTTAATGCGAAATCGGATGAAGATATATATGGGAGCTATATCTAAATTTGATCCGATTCTCACCAATTTCAATAGGGTTCGTCCTTGGGCCAAAAACATATTTTTTGGAAAATTTCATCTCAATCGGATAATAAATGCGACCTGCATTTTGTTCACAAGAATACATGGACAGACGGACGGACGGACGGACGGACGGACGGACGGACGGACAGACGGACGGACATGCATAAATCGACTCAGAAAGTGATTCTATGAAGGTTCTCAAAAGTAACTATGGGTCTATCTCGTTTCCTTCTCCATGTTACAAACAAATGCACAAAGACATAATACCCTTACCACTATGTGGTGTAGGGTATAAAAACTAAACTAGATATGTATTTTTTTATAGCTAGAGAGGATACATCTATCAGTTAAATAAAAAGGTATTCAATTAACTTTGTTCCTCCAACTAAGATAAATGTGGCGATATTTGTGTGTATATTTTAAACCGGTTACTAAAGTGCCTTTACTTAAAAAGGAAACAACAATTCCCTAACAAAGTGGACCTCAAAGCCGATTTAGTAATAAATCAAATATAATCATTGCCACCATCAATAAATTATTTTGTCAATTTCTCAAACACTGAAATACCATTAATTTTTATTGAAGGCAAATAAATTCTAAGCAGTACAATATCGTCTCCTTAGAAAATGAAACTGTGTTATTTCGTGTGACCTCTTCCGTTGAAAGGCAACCAACGAATGAAGAAAGGAACAGGGAAACATCTAAAACGAACAACAAAAACATATATATCCACTTTATTGACTCATTAAGATCGTTAAGTGTTCTTGACTTTAGTCACACACACATACACGTACATCCCACACTCCACTTAGTATTGGTCAGTTAATATGAACTTTTCTTATAGCTGTGTGCATGTGTGTGTGCTTATCATATTTCCAGCAATTTTTCTACCATGACTTCCCCAAGACACATCAGACCACAACCCGACGAAAAGTGTACAAAAGCTGTTTGGTATGTGATACCTGTATTCGAGAGCTGATGGTAATCGATGTTCCACCCCAGGTAATTGGATGACAATCAACAAAACTCTCCCAAAAAAAATAACACCCACTCGTTCATAGTAAAACTCTTAAAGTTATTAACCAAATGCGAAAAAAAGAATCCCCCATCCTACTCCCCTCCCCACGCTTCCCCAATTAAGTAATCATCATCATAAATATTTACAAAGAAGAGAAAATGAAACATTGGCCAATTAAAACTTTTCTAATTTTCTTTTAAATTATTCGCCAAAAACGCCAACAAAAACGAAAATAACAACGGCTCACCAACAACCTAATCTCCGAAACATATCCTCCTGACAACGACAACAACAACAATTGCCACTACGAAACTTACCGAAAATCGAAATAGAAACGGTTTCCGGCGGATAACTTTGCCGAGTGGAACAACGGCCATCCACTGGGGTTGAGAACAGTTCATGCCTACGTCTTGGTCTTCGACATGGGAAACTTGGAAACATTCCGGGTAAGTATTCATTAAAAGAAGTCATAAATAAAAAAAACGGGCCGGGACCTTAATAATAACAGGTGTAATTTTGGCATGATAAATGCGGATTAGAACATTTTGTTGCAAGATCTGAATGTGTTTGAATTACAAAAACCTTTTTGGATACTTCCAGTTAAAATCGTTGTTAGGTCGGAGCATTTTCTCATGCATTTATAATCAGGTGTTGGGCAAAATTATGTTAGACATAAATAAGCCATTTCACGAAATTCATATAAAAACGTAATATTGAACGGACAACAGCAGATTGTAGAAACTGTCTGATATTTACAAAAAAGAAATGTAATTATGGACCTCTCAAGGTCAGAGAACTGACGCTTTAATACATATATAATATAATAATTAATATATAAATATATAATTAATATATAAATAATATAATATCACGGAGAATAAAATGTATGAATTGTGAACAAAAACTTAGGAAAATCCATGTAGTCGACACTTTATTATTTATTATTTTTTTTATTTTTTTTTTTTTTTATAAAAAAGAACTTAATTATTCTCATATATCGCGAAATTCTGACATTAAATTTCGAAGCATCGTTCTTATATTTATTATTATAATTTAAAAGAAATAGGAAAAAAATATATTTAATATTTATATATTTATATTTTTAAAATTAGTATGGTTTTAGATATTTTTCAAAATTTCATTGCTCTGTTACACAATATTTTTAACAAATCTATTTATACAATTTAACAAACCCATCTCTCTCTTTTTTCCAGTATTGCAGGTCGATGAGAGATCAAATTTTGGACAGTTTTTGTCATCGTGATTTTAGTATTATTGTTGTTGGCAACAAATATGACACAATCAATGAAACACAGGCAAATTCACAGGTGAGTCTGATAGAGTTTTGCAAAATAAAAATTTTAAAATCATTTAAACTGATATAGAGGTATATTAAATTTTAATAAATACAACGCACTATATGCATATTTAATTTATAGCCAAATACAAAATATTAAAAGGGAGAGCTTTAAAGTGAAATTTTATATATTAAATAATATCCAATAGAAAAATTGCAATGCATATTTTCTATTAAAAGACAAGTAAAAAAGCTGTAAGTTCGACTGGCCTATCTTGGAATACCCTCCACAATTTGTAACGATTTTGGAAATTTAAAAAAAAAATAAAATCCGCTAAAATTTAAAAAAGTACCGAATTTAGCCGTTACATTGGGGTCTACATTAGGGAGGTACCATTATATAGGGGCTATAACAAAACGTGGACCTACGCAGACAATTTTCTGTCTTAGGCTGTATTATCCATTACGAACTTCAAATACCAAATTTGAAACATTTCCGGTGAATAATGTCGCTTAAATCACCAAAATACCGAAAAAATGGAGGTACCATTATATGGGGTCTATACCAAAACGAGGATCCACATCACCCATTTTCAATACCAAAAGTCCTGCAGACTTAACACACATTTGAGTAAAATTTTATCAACCTACTTCATTTCGTTGGGAAGCTAGAGTGATTTCCACAGACGAACAGAAGGATAGACGGGCGGACATCGCTAAATCGACATAGCATTTTATGCTGATCAAGAATATATATACTTTGTAGGGTTTAAAATGTATATTTCAAGGTGTTACACACGAAATGACAAACTTAATATACCTTCAGTGTGGCGATACGAAAGTTAATGCAAAAACAAAAAACACAAATTGAAATGAGTTTTTCAATTCCTTTAAAATAAGTTTAGATTTGTTCGAATTGGTCTCCTTTGGCACGAATTATGGCTTTCAATGAAACCGTCACACGCTGTCCAAATGTTGCTCTGCGGTATTTTGGCCCATTCCCAGCGCTTGCTTGAGGTGATCGAAACGTTGGTATTATTTAGTGCCAACGTTGCTTTCCAAAATACTCCAGACACAATAGTCCAACGTATTGGTATCCGGAGATTTTGGTGGCCATTGTGCGCTGGAAATGAAGCGAGGAACCTCATTTTGTAACCATTCTTGGGTGGCGGGTACTGGTTGGAATATCCAAGGTATCGATGAAATGCCCAAGGTCTGCGGCCAAAATGTTTGCTTGCCCAAGGCTTTAATACACCCTCCAGAATATTTTCGCGATAATATTTCGCATTTATTCGATTAATACGAGCGGAGAGCGACCATCAGCTGTTATGGCGGAAGGTGCACATTTTCAGCTGACCTCTTTGGCAATTAAACACGATCATTTTGTTTGTTTACAAACTGCTGGACAACGAATGTTTTCTCATCGGAGAAAACCAAATTCTGCAGTTCACCACTTTCGGCCAAGCTAAGCAACTCTTTACCTCTTTTGAGTTTCAATGGCTCATTTTTTAATATTTGCTGAATGGAATATTGCGATATGTTCAGCTTACGAGCCTTTTTTCGGCCACTTCTTCCGTCCACTTCCTTGATGTCGGGCAACGCTACCAGTATCAGGGTAACGAGCGATGGTACGAGACACAAAAAAAATATTCACATTTAAATGCTGAAGTGGTCTAACGATAGCCTTGCCACTTGTGGTCATCCAGCCAAATATAAAGATATTACACCATCACGCTTGAATTCCATCACGAATTACTTTTTTTTCTGGAAAATTCTCACCAAAATGCTTTTGTACGCTTGCAAACAATATAATGAGCTGTAACTGGAATAGTTTTAACAGCGGTCGGACGAGTGGCTTGGAAATGACAGCAGTCTGAAGTTGGTTGCTGTTTTTCAAGTTAAATTTTTTTAAACGCTTTGTCCGAATTTGCTTCTTGTTTGTTTTTCAAAATACCGCTGGATTTTACAATGAAGTGTTTACCAAACACATCGAGACCCCACTATTTTGAGATATTTTTGAAATATTTAATAAATAGTTTTGAGATTTTATAGAAAGCTTTGGATTACTTCAAAAACCATTGATTTAAAAAAATGGGTCATGTCGGTTTATTTTTGGTATAGCCTCTATAAAATATAAACTTTGATTTCGAGTATTTTATATGGTTTATTCATTTTCTTTATAATCTTGTCTTTGTATTTTAAATTCTCAAGAATTTTTGATGTACCCCTAACAGAAAGGTGCCGCCTGTTTTCAGTCGTTTTGTTCTTATTTTTAAACCGATTTGGATTTAAATTGGAATCAATATTTTTCTCAAAGCGAAAACACATTTTAACTACAAACTTCCAATATATGTTTCGGAGCCCAAATATGGGACCCACCTGATTTATTTTAAATTTTGCCTTTTTAAGGCGAAGATCATATGTTTTATGATTTATGTGTTTGTTTTCTCTTTCGAGACGAGCTTAATGATCTGAAATTTGCAGTGAAATTTTGCCTTAACAAGGCAAAACTCAAAAATTCAGCCGAGCCTGGCTCTGGGATTTGAACCGCGGACCTCGGTGTGCAGCCAACTAGAAGTTGCCGTCTAGCTAATGAAATGTTATGTCCATATTAACTGAATTGTTCTCTATAATTATTTTAGGCTGTTAAAATATTTCTTTGGATTTAATATTTTTCAACTTATTCTTACAAACTTCTTTTTCTTTAACGTTCGTTTGCAGGAACTTAAAGATATTTCAACCCTAGTACGGAAACATTGGCGCTGTGGCTATGTCGAATGCTCCGCACAGTAAGTATCGTTTTTTGTATGTTTTATTGAGAAGATTTAGAATCGCCATTGAAACATCTCTTCAAACTACATTTTCCACTTATTTCACTTTCCATTTTCTCTTTCGCCTCTCTTCGCAGATATAACTACAAAATCGGTGATGTATTTCGTGAACTAATGGGTTGTACCAGTACGGGGGGCAGTGCCATTGGCACTGATTTCACACAATCAAATAGAAATAAAGGACGTTGTACAATACTCTAGCAATGGCTGCATAAGTTTTTTTAGTAACACAACAACAAACACAACATCAACAATATTTTGAGGTAATCAGCAACAACAACAGAACTAGAAAACAAACAAATAAACATGTGAATTAAAAAATAAAAACAGATTATATTTAGATGACATTAGAAACAGCAAGCAAGAAAACAACATTTAATATTATATATTAGATATATTGGAAAATATTGTTTTTAGACTAGTTTATATATGAAAAAACAACAACAAAAACACAATTATTAAAACAAAAAAACAAAGCAAAACAAATGCGTAAGGCCACTGTAAAAGTAACTCCAACTATTTGAGTAAATTTGCAATACAAACAAAAATGAGAAGTACTTTATTATTGCATAAAGTAAAAAAACAAAAATAATTTATTTTGTTAAAAAGATTAAATTTTATTTTTTAAGTTAATTTTTATCGAAAGTGAAAATACAAAAATAGTATTGAGGCTGGAAGCTATGTAACAAATGTAGATGCCTATTGTAGAAGTTTATCAACAACTAATGGACAAATGGAAAATATTTGGCAATAATTTTGAAGGAATATCACAAGATTTGTTTGTTAATTTATATAACCACAATTGGCATGATAAAGAAGCGAGGTAAAGGAGGAGGAGAAAAAAAAGCGCTATGTTTATTATGTATTAGAATATGTTTATTAAAATTATCATATCCTACGTCACTAGGCAGAGGTCTTCATTTTCACACATTTGTGCCCCTAGTTGCAGGGGCAGAAGTTTATTTATTTATGAGTCGGTGGTTTTTAGAAACTCTCAACTATCGATCTTTCTTTGGTCAAGTCCTATGCGTGCTTTGATAATGGATTTTGAACTCCGTGAGGCTGTCGTGTGTAACACTTCAGCGATAGGTTTTTTATGCTGTTTGGTGTTCAATTTTAAATGCATGTCTTCAGACTGGGCGTCCATTGAAGAGAATATGCCAACACATGCCTTTCTACATAGCTGATAGTACAGTTTTTTTCCAATGCACAGTGGTCCCACATGTATGGGAAGGTCTGAAAAAAATGTTTCTATAAAACTAATCGATCTGACTTTTTTAGAGTAGCTTCATAATGGTTAAAAAATAATGTAATCACAAAATTGTGAAAATTGATCCACGTTTAGTCCTCATACAACAGTGCCCTCCGATTTAAAGAAATTTGAAGATTTTAGGTACATTTTCAATTAATGAACTGAAAATTGGCATCTGGTGTTCTTAATAGATACCTGCTGTCCTTGCAAAATAATGTTAATATGGGCCCACAATTTTATGTAGCTCCTATAGAACCCTACCACTGATTTTACTTCTTTAGAGTATTTTTACCATATGTTCCGATTTCTCGATTTTGCCGAAATTTGTCATTTCTGTTTAGAATAGGGAAAGAAGTTGATGTGCCAAAAAATGTCATCATTGAACTAAGGATCATGTTTTCTATACAGCTCCCATAGAACCCTACCCCCGATTTTGGGAATTTTTCAAGACTTTGGCCAAAATTTTTTAACAGATTTTTATGTAATTTGGCATTTAGGATTCGGTATACAATATATACCTACAATTCAACAAAAATTTGTCAAAAATATTTGTTCTTTTGTTTACCTCCCTTATAAATTACCTCCACATTTGCCGTATTTGAAAAAATAAAGTAATATTTTGAAACGCTAGTAGGATCCACAGATGCAGATATATGCCGCTGAAATCAATCACATAGTGGTAAGAGAAGTAATCAGATTTAGATATAACTCCCATATATATTTTTATACGATATCAGGTTTATTATGCTCCAAATGGCTAAAATCGTCCGAAATGAACTGAATTTTGGCGATTCCGACCGAACTCAGTCTGGAAACAAGTACTTCAAATTTGGTGAAAATCGGTTCAGATATAGCTGTAGCTCTGGTATATATGTTCTATCCGATTTCGGGGTTTAAGTCCCTCACATGCGTAATATGCACTCCACATGAAAGATATTTGGTACCAGATATCAAATACAGCTTAGCCCCATATATATCTTCATCCGATTTCAGGTTTATTATGCACCAAATACCTAATATCAGCTCAAATGGACTGAATTTTGGCACTTCCAACGACATTAAGCCTAGAAGCAAGTATTTCAAATTTTGGTAAAAATCCGTTCAGATATATTTTTATATATTTTCTATATCTATAAAAGAGGAAAATGTTTGTATATTTGTAATTTATGGACTCGAAGACCACTGAACAGATTTTCCTGAAAATGTATACTACAACATCGCCTGAAAGTAACATAGGCTATATACATTTTTGAAATTCCACTTGGAACTGGAGATATTGCATCAGAATCAGAGGTACCTCCCAAATATTTAGATTTTAAATGTACATATCTATTGATAGATTACAGATACAGTCTCCAAATTTGGAATGCATAACGAAATTAGGAACAAAAATAAATTTTAATCGGTTCAGATTTGGATATAGCACCCATATATTTTTTCCACCGATTTCGTTTCTTTGATACAACAAACACGGTACGTATGTCCGATATATACATTTCGGCCGATTTCATGTATATTCTGCACCAAACACGATATGTATGTCCGATTTCAAAAAATCCAGAATGTTTGGCGGAATTTTGTTCCAATGATAAATTCGACAAATTAATTAGTAATTGGTTAAGATTTGGATGTAGCTCCCATGTATATTCTCGGCAGATTTCAAATATTTGATGCACCCAACACGGTATGTACCTCCAATTTCAATGAAATATGGAAGGTGTGACGGAATTTGGTGTAAAAGTAAATTTTGTCATTGTCATATTGAAATCGGTTCAGATTGGGATATGATTTTATTAAGAAGCATTGCCTCAAAATGCTTTTGTAATGGTATTAAGCTGACAGCTAAAAAAACCAAGCAACAATTTAATTGAGGATATGATTATTACGGGGAAATATGTTGCTACCTTGAATTCTCTAATTGCAACAGAAATGCCACTCAACTTAAAAAGATTGCAGTTTTCTGCACGCTTGGCATTTGCTATGAAATTAATAAATACGAAGGACAAACCCTTCGTGTATGCGGACTAAATTTGGCACGTTCCGGCTTTTCTCATGGTCAGCTGTTCCTATTACGTTTTCTAAATTTTTGAGTTTGTCTTATTTTTTAAGCCAACAAATATTCGTATATAAAATTTTGAATGCGTATCAAATCAAAAGGGGTAGCGAAGCGCACCGGGTTCAGCTAACATTTAGTGTAATTTAATTTTTGAACTAACTATACTTCAAATAGTACTTCAAATTTCTCCAAAATCATAATATAAATAATTCAACATTCTCGGCTTTGGATTGTCAAATGCGGGTTTAAAGGTAAAAATTATTGTTATTATTAAAATTTGATATCTCAAGAGAATATTCACAGCGCTAAAATTAAAATTTGTTGTATTTAGGTTTTTGATTTTTATCATGGTTTGGAACCACTGTGCAATGACTTAGTATTAGACTTCTTTAGAGAATATTCGTGTCACTTCCCAGAGGGTTTAATTGATTTAATTTACGTTTTTGCACATAAACCTTTTCATCTTTTGCCCACACCCCTCCTCGTTACTATAAACAGTAAACAAAATATTATAAAGTAATATAAATGACAAAATATTAAAAAGTTCAATAAAATATTAAATCAATATATCCCACCATTGTTTACAATATTTATTCCAACGATTTTGTGGTTCTTTAGAATGAGAATAAATTACCAAATCCAACTCGATATCCATTCTTGTGTTTAATATTGAAAAATTGTGAAGCAATAATCCCTTCATATAACAAAAATAATGATAATATTTAATATGAAATTTTTAAAGGAATAGCAAAATTAACATCTAAGAATTTAGGCTTGTACATGAACAATGATAATAAATAATATTAAATATTTACAAAACAAAATTGAAAAATAAATAAATTAAAAAAAAAAATAACATAAAAATGTTAAACAAGTTGTGATCATTCAAAATTATTGTAAACTACAAAGGTTTATGGTGAAACAGGAAAAATATTTAAAAATTATTGTTATGAATTTTAATTTCGATAAATAATGAAAAATTCAAGAATTCAGAAGAAAAAAACTTCAAATGGGTTTGCTACAACGATTTTATTCTAAAGTTGTGTCAATATGGTTCATAATTATGTACACCAGTTTCTAAACGTATAAGTGATTTAAAATATTTCATATCACTCATACGCAGTGTTTTCTTGATAAGAAAATAGTTCGTTCGATCGAACTAGATTGGCACAACTCAACTTTATTCAACATTGTTCTTTGGGGCGTATGACGCATTATATTCCTTTTACGTGGTCGAAAAATCATACGCCACCATGGCACTTATATTTTTTTCTCAAATTAATGAATACCTGTCTCACCAACGTTCTTTTGTAAATCTATGAGATAAATAAAAAAAACTATTTAACGCACAAAATGTAAATTGAAATAAATGAAAATTACAACAATTCATACATTGATCACTCCCATTGCAAAAAAGGTTGATAGGTTAGTTGACATTCTAAGATACATAATTACATACAACATAGCTAGTAGTGATTTATGAAGCATATATATATTTATTTAAAATACATACATAAGGTACATACATAACGGATATATTAGATATACTTAATAAATTTTGAAAGCCTTTTGAAACAATAAAATAAATAATAAAACCCATTATGATTTGAACTTTGAATTGTCTTATATTTTATTTCAGTTCGAGTGTTTCGTTTTGGATGATGTTTGATAGTTATTTGCGAATAATTGAAATTTATATTTCAGAGAACTGAATAAATTGAATGGATAATTTTCCAAAATTCTAGGAGTTTTCCCGAAATTTTTGAAATTTTGTTCAGCGTAGTATTTGCCAATAAAAATAATTTAATAATTGAAAAAACATTTAATACTTTATGGACAAATAACACTAATTTGTATTTTGAAAATTTTTCCATAAAAATTCATAAATATTTGTTCGAAAGCGCGATTATTATTTCATTTTTCTTAAAACTGTTGAAGGGTTCAGCAGTTACATAGTAGCATTTGTTCTCCTAATCACTTCCTGGTTACAGCTCCAAATTTCAAAATATGCCAACCTCTCACAAAATTTGGCAGAAATCTTCTAGAGTAAGTTGAAGGAGATATGTCAAGCCTATTAAATGGATATAACATGGACTTTTCTGTTTATTCTCCTCGTCTAACCAGTTGACCTGCAATATCAGCTCTCCGACTGTAGGACAAGTAGCCGGAGCGCAATAGTTTGATGTGCTGCAATCCCTTTATAACGTTAAAAGTAGCAAGGTCTCTATGTCTATATGTGGACAACGTAGTTGTGTAACAACAGGTTTACGTTTACTCAGCATTGTTGTAAAGAAGTTTCGGTTTCGTCTTCTTCGTTCCCTGCTGCAACGTTCATTTTACGGGACTTTAAATTGGTCAGGCATATATATCGGCTGATTTGAACTGATCAGGCTTCACTTTATTGTGATCAGGTACAAATCACTAACTACTCTAAGTGGAATTGCGACTGATGCCTTTTGAGCTAAGTTTGGCGGGGATTGAGTTTTAACCTATTTACCCTAATGAGCATAGTAGTGACTGGATGACTGACTGGTTCAACAATGCCAAAACGAAATGTTTAAAACTAAAATTTCGAAATTTTGGATGTGGCTCTAGTTGGGAGACCAGGTTGGGCTTATGGAAATTTTAACTATACTGTTGGGAAATGCTTAAGCTTCAATTTTGTTTTATGTAGGCTTCCCTATGATAAACAAAACGTTCCATCTTTTGGAACGAATTTGGAAATTTTCAAAAAATCAGTTGAAATCATAAAAATAACGAATATAGGGAGTTACCGTTATAATGGAACTATACGAAGACCTGGACCTGCATAGACAATTTGCGTCATAGGTTATAGTACCCATTACTTAAAGTTCTAATGGGTACTATAACAGATCGTCAAAATATCGAATATAGGGAGGACCGTTATAAGGGGGTTATACCGAAACGTGGACCTATATAGCCCATTTTCAATACCAAAAGTCCTGCAAACTAAACACACATTCGAGGTGTTACAAACGAAGCTAACGAAACTATTGATGAAGGGTATAAAAACGGTACCAAATACCGTACCAATTTGTAATGGGCAATGAGATAGAACTTGTATTTTTAAATAAATACTAATTTTGACATAAAGGTAGGAAATGATCTGAAATTACTATCTTTTATATTAGGGTAAATGAATAACTTTTAGACAAGGTGCTGGATTTAGAAACGTGTATTATGTTGTGTCCGAATATATACTTTAACACGTAAGTGTCTAGGTGGAATTGGGTATAAGGTTCGTAGTGGGTGTTTGGAATTTAGAGTACGGAGAGTAATAAATTCGGTACAGACTGTTGAAAGTGAGCTGGAATTTTGAGTATTAGTGTACGGGTCACTACGCGAGTATAATATCTAAACAATGCAGCGTTAATGGAAATGCGTACTTTATAGTGAACGAAAAGTACTAAATTCTGTATTAAGTGTAGACATGGAGGTAGAATTAAGCATTTCGGTATGCGGACCACAAAGAGTGTGAAAGATTTTGACAATGGGGTGTTTTAGGAAATGATATAAAATGTACGAATAGGAATGGAATTGTGAATTTTAGTCACGCTTGGTTTGTAGAAATTTGTCTATGGGGAGTTTTTGAAATAATGTACCTAATAGAGTGCAGTGATAGAGCTGAAGTGTTTGGATTTAAATAGAGGAATGGGTGTTTTTGGGTATATAGAAACATCCAGAATTGTAAATTCTCTATTCAAAAAAAATGCTTGATTCTGGTGCATATCGAGATAACGAGGATTTTTTGGAAAATTGCACTGAAATACCCGAAAAACGAATCTTTCGGTCCTTTACCAAAACCTGTATATGCAATTTTCTTAAGAGCATATGGAGCGTAATTTCCTTTCCTTAGCGCTTTTGAACAACTGTTTGATTTTCATCTAGAGTAATTTGTATTGAAAACGTATTTTATTACTAAATTTATTGGTACAGCCCCTACTAGTATTCGATATATATGTCAAATCTCTTTATATATGAGAGGTGTTTTTAAATTTAGTCCTGATTTTTGAACCCTAAAGCGGTTTTTGGTTATCCTACATTTTCATTTTTTCTATTTGTGATTCTTAGCATTGAAAATGAACGGTCAAAAGAATGGAAAGTAGATTGCAGACGAAAAATTTTAATTAATAGTGGATGAGTTTTATTTTTCCATTAAATATTACCCATTGAAAAGCAATACAAGATTCAATGCCTCTGATCACCACAATTATAGTTGAGTCAAACTAAAGGTCAAACCTAATTTTGAAAATATCTTTGAGTGCAATCACATTGAAGGCAAGGCTACATAAAAAGTATTTATGTTTAATCACTTAATTTTTTAGTGCATTGTTACTGTAATTTTTCAATAACTTCAAAATATTTTTGAAGTAATTTCAATTTTAACAACTTGAAGCCGTTAGAATTTAATTTTAAATAAATTAGTCGAATTTTAAATTTATTTGCGGTCAATTTCGACATTTTTAAATTTCAAACAGCAAATATTACTTTTTTCATAGCAATATTATATAATTGGAAATGTTATACAAATTATTTGCATATTCCTATTATTGTTAATCATAACATTTAATAATAATTATAAATACATAAACACCGTAAACATAAGATTGTTTTGTTAGAAAAGTTCAGTTAAATTATGAGAATAATACAAAATTATAATAGAAATAAATCTACATTAAATAAGGCTGACTTTGTATATAGAAGAAAAACAAAAGAAAAAACAACAACCAAGTATTTGTTATTTATTAAAATTAGAAACAAAAGCAAAGACAAACAAGAAGAGACATCTATAAAAACCTATACCAATACATATACATGAATACTTTATGATATAATAAAAAGGAACTTTATAAAGAATTTTATTGTCACAAAGCAGCAACAACAAACAAAAAACAACAACAAAATCAACCGAAACAAAAACTGGAAAATGAAAACAATAATAACACAAATTTCCCAGTACAAAACACGACAACAACAACAACAAGAGAAAAAACTTTACAATAACAAGAAACAACCCACAATCTCCATTATGTCATCTAATTGAATTCGAATCTTCCATAATCCAATATTCCAAAAGAATGAAAATCACAATTTCCATTTAGTTTTGAACAGGGCCAGAAAAACAGACGGAGAAGGAAAAATATGAAACACAAATGTCCCTTTTATGCAAAACGAAAAGGAAATGAAATTGTTGGCAGGATGCTTAGATGAATGAATGGTGAGTTTTTTTTTTCGGACATCCCCAGAAAATGTCATTTTGCTTTCTGCCCAATGATCCACCATGAAAGTCTTTAAAAAAAATAAAGTCTGAAACTATCCATGCAGAACGACATTGACAAAGCAAGTAAAGTATAATTGACATTAACTAAGCCAGTTCAAAATATGCTTCATAATTTGGCTTTTTTATTCTTTGTTATGATTTGGCATTCAACAGGATTCAACAGGATATTATGGGTTGTTTTTGCTTAAAAAGTGTTAATATGCCAGGTTTGGGCTATGTCGACTTATTCCTGCACTTTATAGGAAATAAGGTTTTATGGGGGTCGGGGGTAAATACCAGAAATAGTGAACCGACATATCCCATATTTACATTGGTTATACTGATATATACTGTGAGGGTATAATGACAAAAAAGTGACGGGTTAGTCATATCGAGTTGACAAAGGTGGGAGCGAATTAAATGTTGAGATTTGGCTGATTTGTGGTTTGCTGCTATCTAAGCTTGGTTTAACGGCGTGTTGTAAGAAGTCAGACGTTGTTTCTGACAGTTGCCGGATTATTGGAGATAAAGATACTGGATTTTAACCGAGTCGGTGAGTGGGAACTTTTAAGTGGAAGTGATAGCATTCGGATAGTAGATCAAACTCCCGAATTTGTCTTGAGTTCCGAACTTTTTTAGGGCCCATTGTATATAGCCTTGACCATACCTTTATTTATCAATATAAGCCCACATTTTGGTATAACCCCAAGTTCAGCTATTTCCGGGGTATTCATCTTAGAGAAAATGATCAAAATAGACATATATATTTTGGAATAGGCCCTATATTACGGTACCCCCAAGTCCACGTTGGGGATTAGTTACAGAAAATCTTTAATGGGTTTTGAATTTATAAGGCCAATTTTTCTTTCTATGTTACAATCCCACATAACGGTATCCCCAAGTCGTCGTTCCCAACCAATATTTTTGGGGATGAAAAATTGCGAATGCTACCATCACCTACATAGGTGATGAACAATTGGTCTGGATATATTTTGTATAAATAATTTTTCATTTAACCCAAAACCCTGTATCAAATTTTTAAAGCCCTATCTTATGTTTTGAGAGGCATTGAGAAAAATATTTGAGTCCCTTTGTGTATGGTTAAGGCTATATATAATGGCCCTTCAAAAATTGTCCTAAAAATCTAAAACTCTTTTGGGATTTCAATCTACAAACCTAATACTATCATCTCCAAATGGAAAATCCTACCCTAGACCATGCCCTGAGTATTGTTGCACAGTGTTATAAAAAATTATCCCGCAGGATAAATGCAGCTAATAGTGCAATTGTGATATTCATTCTTTTTACCACTTTTCGAAGATTTTCTGCAAAATTAC